CGGCGGCCATGACGGCGCCGCGCGAGAGTCGCCGCCAAACACCGCGAGACTTCCTGCCGCGCGCTCGGTCTCGCGAGAGTCCCGGGACTGCCCGGCCCCGCGGAACCCGGCTCGGGGTGCGCAGCCCGCAGCCCTCGCTAGCGTTGTGCTTGCTCAGATTTGCTCGCCTGCCCCCTGCTATGGAGAGGGAAGAGCCCCTGTCCCGGACCTCGCGTGTCTGTGTGGAGAAGAGGGTGGCCCCCAGGGGCGCCCTGGGCTACACGCCTGGTTTGTGGAGAGGGGGGATTTCCCCCGAGCTTGCTCTTGTGGTCCGTTGGTGAAGGGCAAGCAACACCTGGGGGCATCTGAACTGACCCCCGGGACCCCCGGACTTGGCCTGTGCGAGGTACCTGCCGTGGAGGGAGGAGACTTGCTGGCCGTAGTGCCGCAAGGATATGAATGATTGAGGTCTGCTCAGTCGGTAGGTTTCAGAACGGATTTGGCTGATTTGACCTGGAACACGAAATAACAACAACAAAAATTAGCTTTGTTCAGTCTTAACCCCTGGCGGTACTTGAGATGTCTGTACGTTAGCACGGGTGGGGGGAGCTGTCACCAAAATGGTCTTTGCCTATAAAATTTAGCCTCTCTGGAGCAGAACGTGGCAGTTTTTAACGCTAACGGCATGTGGCCAAAATGTGAGCAGTGTTCTGAGCTCCGGTGATTTCAGAGACGTCTTGGACTTTCAAACGTGAACCTGAGAGCCAAAATAAAACAAATGGCTAAGTAAAAAAAACCCAGGTTCTTTTCTTCTGAATCTTACTATGTTTAAACCATTTTTTTTATCTTGGCATGCTTGGGTCTGGGTAATAATACATAAATGTCCTGGAAAATAAGAGTCCCCAGGGTGACAGAAAAGGAAAGGAGTATTTATCTCTTAGTAAACCATATGAAAATGAGTAGTAAAGCAACTGACTCTTGACAAGCTGTTGGTTGAGGGGGGAAAAAATGTACACGTGTGAACAGTATCCCAGTGAAAAAGGCTTGATTATTCTCTCATCAGTTGATTTCAGTGACATTATTTCAGATTTACTTCAAGAAATTAGTCAAAATTTACAAGTGAAATAAAAAAGAATAAAAAACCCAAATCTTTTCTACCTAGGCATCATGACATAAGAGACATAGTTAGCTGTGTTAATCTGAGGTCAAGTATAAAGCAAGGTAGATTCACAATTTATAGACTAACCAAAATGTGTGTGTGTGTCAATAGGGCACAAGTTTTAATAAGCTGAAGCTCAATCAGATGCTGTGAAAGGAAATACTGTAAGAGTGTTCTTCTGAATACTGGTGCTCCTGGGAAAGGCAGTGCACTCTACTGCTGAAAAAGACTGAAATAATGTGGGGCCCTACCAAGAATATCCAGTTATAGAAGCAGACCTCAGCCAAACTACTTCCCTTGAACAGCCCATGGCAACAGAGATCTTGGCCCAGACAGCAGTTCATAAAAGCCTTGTGTGTCACTTGCAATTGCCTGCACAGCTAGTAACCCAGTTCACATTTCTGTATCTTTATGTCTTAAACACTAGAGGGGGCATGTGAATTAGTCAAAAGAAGCACACAAACTTCAGGGGCAAGTTAGAGAATGTATATTTATAGTTGTGAGTTGTGTATGTATGCCACTATATCCCTGTGGATAGCATCATTTTCTTTATCTGCCTCAATATTTTTAGTGGTCTGAGATCCTAGCAGGTCCTTTTTCAAACCATTCGTGGGAATTTAACTAATTCTGGCCACGTTCTCACAAGCAGGGGTATGCGGTTGCTGCAGGGAAAAGAGCAGCAGCACAAATTCATGCCACTGCTTTTTGCCCTAGCACATGTCCCTGCATGTGGGGTTAGTGTGGTGAAAAATGCTCCGGGTGGGGTAGGGGAGGCTGGAACCAGCCCTGGTCTGGCTCCAGCAGCCTTATCTGGGCTCCTGGGAGCCTCACAGGGCTTCAACAACAGCAATCCAGGTATGTGGAGCTTGGCCAGCAATCGGAGCATGGCTCTGACCAGCCTTTCCTGTTTTGGGCAGCGCATACTGTGGCCGCTTGTGTCACCTCACTTTTTTCTGGCACGGGGTTTTTTTGACACTGGGATCTCCTGGTGTTAAAAAAAACCTGCTGCACTGCAGATTCGCAGTGCGGTGAAGACCTGCATGTGTGGCACATGCAGTTCATGGCACCGCAGGCAGGTCTGTGGTGCCACAAACCTCACGTGTGTGGTCATCCAAACTCGCCCTTTATGATTAAAACTTTTTTGATACATAAAGCAACATCCTTCTGTATTAGATCTCTCCTCAGCAACAAGAACTCTTAACTGAAGTAAAGGAGTCCTGCTGCTACTCAATATTTCTGAAAATCAGGTTCAAAATGTCTCAGGTTGGAACCTGAAGATGAGACACTCAAACTTGTATCCACTTTTGACACTATTAGTCTTCCAACTCAGCACCAACAGTTTCTTCACTCAAGCCTGATTATTAACCATGTAGCTGTGATTTTTCCTTTATAAATTGTAAATTCCTCTGGGCAAGGATCCTGTCTTCCTAAAAAGAACTGTCTACATTTAGTCTATGACAAAATAATCCTACATTTCAAACCAGAAATTCTTCTTTGTGACCTAACCCCTTGGAATTCTGTGGAACTTGTTATAAAGAGCCTTTTAAAAGGTTTTAGTGCAGACAATAACTCAGAAACATACTGTTTTGCTTGCATTCCAGGTTTTTCAGATTAAAATCTCTAAAATTTCTGTAAGTGCTGCACAGTTTATCAGTGACTTGGCCCAAAGTGTGTAAATTTTATCTGAACAATAGAACAGGGTAAATATTTAAAGATTAGAGCCAGCTGGAGTCAAACACAAAAGGCACAGACAAAGGGGTCTTTCTGAATTCACTCTTCCCAACTCTTGCAAACTCCAGTTCAGTGTTGATTCACTCCCTAGAGTTCCTTGAGTTCACTCTCTCATTGTGTACATCGAATGGGCTTTTGCTGTCAGACTGCTTATAATCCGAACCTAACTAAAGAACTTTTAAAGCGTCATTCCCTGCAAACCTTTCACACTGTTATGTCAGTGTGTTTATCATTTGTTAAAGTAAATCATAATTGATAGTCACTAATTAACTGATTAAAATATATGTCTTGATGACCTTATTACAGTATCTTTTGATTTAAAATAGTCATGCTAATTTTGGTCACCTGTCAGGTCCTCACAGTTACAAGTGCTCATAGTTTTAATTGAAAAGCAAAGCCAAAATTTTACAAAAAAGCCCACGTGTCATTCCCGCCCTGAGAACAGTGATGATTATCCTAATGCACAAAAAATAGGGCATTTTATAACCTTAATAACTTTCTCCAAATATGTCTCATTTTGATGTAAGGAACAAAGGAGAGACATAAATCTCTTAGTTCCCTCAACTATGAAATCAAAGTCTTCTTGAAGCTGGGAAAGTTATAGCCTAAGTCTGTTCCCAGAACAAGTTAGCATTGGGTTATCATGGGGGAGGGGCTGCTTTTTGCCTTTCTTTCTTTCTGAATAAAAATATCTTTTTGTAGGTAGTGATACTGAATCCCCAGCTAAAACAATGACTCCAGAAAAAGATCCTGTCATAAACCTGTGCGTGATTTTCAAGACATTATTTTAGTCATAAATATTAATATTATTATTAAAGATCAAAGCACACCTCAGCATTTTAATGTGGAAGATCCAAGGTTTCAATAAGTATTTAAATATAGATATAATGTTAACTGAAAAAGAAAATAGCTTGCAGAATATAGCCATGTAGCTAAAACATAGTCATCTAAATTTCAGAGCTCAGAAATAATTTGTGCAGTACTAAGGAGAAGAAAAGCTAAGAGTGTGTCTGTATAAGAATCTAGGGGACTGTTTTTGGTTTCACACTGCTGTTATTTCATTGTTTTTAGGAAATTACTTTTGCTTTATCCTGGTGTCAGCAAAAGGAGAATCAGACCCAACATTTCCAAGTATCTTTCACAGAGCAACAGATTGCTGGAACATCCTTGATATTTGCATATTCATTTTCTAACTGCTTGCTTCAGAGCCTTCCCTAGCCAAATCCCAGGACGGGTGGGAAAGGCTTGGGATTTGGCATGTTCCCTGGCTCTGTGTGAGGTAACGGTTTGGGGGGGGTGAGAGACCAGAGCCCATTAATACGGTGCTGCCTCCAAGGCTGGAGCGTGACCAGGAGTGAATAGGAGCTCTCAGCCTGACTCTGGGGATCATCTTCTCACAGTCAGAGCAGAACATTACACATTAGCAACATTTTTTCGGTCAATTTTCCACTGTTTAATACTCCTCACCACACAAGTTGTTCAAAACCAGCCAGATGTAGCGTATAGAATAGGCAAATCCAGAGAGCAGTTTGGGATATGTCGAACCATCAAGAGCCTTTTCATCTAGTCTTTCATTAAAAACAGCCTGCTGTGCAAGAAATAGCCATGTAATTAAAATAATAGGTGGGAAAAACAGGCACACGATTAATGGTTTGGGCTAGAAGGGAGAATAAGACTGATAAGAAACCATTAGAGCAGAAGAAA